CGGCTGGAGGGCGCAGTCGCTGCGAGCGCGGCGCTGTCGGATTTCGTGGGGGTCATGCTGTCCCGCGCGGGCGCGGGCGGTGGCCCCGGAACAGGCGCGGCGCCGGACCGCTTTGCTGGCGGCAAGGCCGGCGCGTCGCGCGGCCTCGCCGCCTCGATGAACAGCAACGGCAGCAACAGCAGCGGGATCACGGCCTTGCGCGTCCTGGCCGCGCCCGCCGCCCGCGGCGGCGCAGCGGGGGCGGCGGGCGCGGCCGGGGTGGGGGAGGTCGCAGGCGCGCGCGGTGGCGGCAAGCCTGGAGCGCTACAAGGGGCAGCGAGCCCGGGCGCCGGGGCGGGTGGAAGTTCGCCGGTCACTCCCAAGGTGAATTCTCACTTGGAAGAGCTGAGGTTGATGGCGGCGAGCCCCAAGCCTGAGAAGCGACGCACGGCCGGCGACAGGCCGGATTTGGGCAGCAAGTGGTGATTGAGGCCCGCGATTACTCACGGGCAGGGCAGCTGGAATGGGGGGGAAGCTGGGGTGGCCTGATGTGGGGTGCATGGATGAATGGCGCACGCACAGGCTGATTGTGGCGTGCTTTGGGGCAAAGGCGGGACCAGGGGAGAGGGGCAGCACACAAGCCCAAGACGCGCAACGAAGGGGCAGAGGGGCTGGGTGTCACCTTGATTGTGGCGCCCCGAGATTCAAGACAAGAAGTGGCGAAAGGTGCAGCTGGGCGGTGGCGCCACTTGGGCCGAGCGCTTCACCGCCCCCACGACCTTTCTATCTTCCCGCAAGTCCGCATGTATTTTCCAATTGGCATCGCTTTCCTGTCGCTCTTCCCAGCGACTGTCGCTTTCAATCCATTCTCGTTGCTTTCATCTGACCGGCCCCCGCGGCGGCTGCGGGGCAGCCACTATCGCGGAGGCCCCGGCCGGCCGCCTCCCACATGCCGTTTACGTATGCAATCGCCGCCGCCCAGAACCTCTATTGTCGAAAGGAGGCTGTGGCGCGTCTCGGCGCAGTGTGGCTTGGCAGGCCGGGGTCACAGAGACGGCCTCGGGCTCACGGCTTTGAGGGTGCTGCAGGTGACGATCACGTACGGGTGTAGAAGATCCGGGTAATCCTATCCATAGTTTTCTGGTCCTGAGGTAACAGACGTAAACAAGGCAGGGACACATGATGATGCTGGCATTTCACATTCACAGGCAAACGGGTTACCCCAGCACAGGCCCAAATCTAGAAAGTCGGGCCCCAAGCTACATGCAGTAGTGCAGGTGATTCCCTGTCATTTGATGACACATATATACACATACATGCGGGGTGCTGGGTGGCACCGGTCGGTCAAAGTCACCCGCAGCCGCTGCCGTCTCCGCTCCCGCCGCCCGCGGTGCCGCTCCCGCCGCGCTCGCCGCCCCGGCCGCCGCTGCCGCCGCTGCTGCCGCTCATGCTTCCGCCGTCGAGCGCCGATTGTGGCGCCGCGGACGGCGGCCGCTGAGGCGACAGCCAGGGCGCGCCCTCTGGCACGCTGCAAGCAGGCTTGCATCCAGAGGCTGCCTGCCCCCACGCACCCCAGGGGAGGGCGCACCCGTCCGCCCCTGCGGCAACCGTCGCCTCTTCCGCCGTCAGCCCCCCATCTGTTGGCGACCGCTTCACTGCTGCGGCGCCGGCCCCAGCGGCCCCTTCGCCGCCGCGCCTCTGCGCCCGCCGGCGCGCAGACGCCGGTGACAACAGCGGCCGGAGCGCCGCCGGTTCGGGCGGCTCGCAGGTGTGCGGGTGAGGGCGCTCGGCCCCGGTCACGATTTGCACCAACCCCAGCGTCAACGCTGCCAGGGACGGCGGACATGACATGTCACCGCCCCCTCCGCCCTCGCCAGCGGCCCTGCCGCTTGCTACGCCGCCGCGCCCGTTCCCGCCGTTGCCGCCAAAGCCACACGCCCGGTCGAACGCCGCCGGGCCGGCTGCAGCGGCGGCCGCGCCCCCGTCGCCGTCGCCGGCCCCACCTTGAATCCGCAGGCACGCAGCAATCACGCCGCCGATCCGCTGCTCCAAAGACAGAAGCTGCCCAGAGAAACTGCTGACGTCATCGAGCTGCTGCCCGCCGCCACCCCCGCCGCCGCCGCCGTCAGCGGCGCCGCTGCCGGCGTCGTCGGCCCCGGCGCGCGCGCCGCCGCCTGGCGGCTGCGACTGTTGCTGAGGCGGCAGCGCCGGCGCCAACTTTACAGCGCACCTGGCTGGCGACCCGAGGACAGGCGGCCGTCGCTCCGACTTGCCGCAAGGCGCGGCCATGCCCTGCCCTTTGCAGCGCCCCCGCCGCCGCTGCCGCTGCTCGGTC